ACAACAACAAACAGATGTTTGTAAAAGTGGCAACACTAGTAACAAATTAGAGAGAGATTTATAAAGTAAACAATAACAGTGATGTAAATTTAGAGCTTTTTTGCGGCTGTTTTACTTGTTATTGCTAGTTGTCTTGGAAAGTATCTGGGTTTTCAAGGAAAAAGTCATTTTTATTTTGTTTATATTCTTTATTTAAAAAGCTTTAGCCATAGAAAATTGTGTTAACGAAACCTTAAAGTGGTTTAAACATCTAGAGGAGACTTAGGCCTGAAAATTGCAAAGTATTTTTTAAAATTTGCTTAGAATAGTAAAGATTTTATGCAATATTTGCTTTATTAGCTATTTTATATATAATTTGAATAAAGATTAATAGAATATTAACACATCAAATAGTTTTTTTTTTTTTGTCAAGAATTGTGTAAAAAATACTTTTATTAAAAATTTAAAAAAATTATTCGAAAATTGTTAAATACTTCAATTATATCCAAACCAAAAATAAAACAATTTCAAAATTACATTAACAAATCATATTCGAATTCAGAAATTTCGACCAACATTCCATTTTTTACACAATTCCCTTAGTTTTTTCTGGAATTTCTTAATAAATTCATCAAAAATAAATGTTTTTTGTTTTTCAATAGGCAAAATAACTACTTTAAAATTCCTCAATTTTGAAAAAAAAGCTTTCCTGTTAAACATGAAGTAGTTTACAAGAAATGTTATAAAACCAAAAAGAAAAGTAACAAGGCATTTTAGTTTACAACATTTAAGTTTGATAATACACATTCCGATATTATTTTAACATTAAGGGCAACACACAAATATTTAACTTAAAGCTAATTTCAAAGAATCATTTTTATAGGAAATTTTTCTGGTTAGTTTATATTTATTTTTGAATTTTTAGTTCGTTGCCTATTCAATATTTAAATGTGGCATTTAAATAACTGGTTATTTCATTTAAAACCATCGAGCCAATAACCATTTTCTCGCAGTTGACTTGAACAACTAATTCTTCTGAAGATTGAGACCAATCACAAGTGATCAGTACTAAACTCTTCGAGGTCATAGTTTGTCCTACAAAGTTATAGATCGGATTGTCATTGGTGCCATTTATGGCGGCTACATTAATACATTCGAATATTTTCTGTTTCAAAGTCGTGGCCTCAACTGTGTCCTGCTTTAGTTTCAATTTCGTTTGATGTTCATTCATGCCCCTTAACTTGAGACGTTCTTCTTTAAATAGGGTTTCCGTAATGTGTACAGAGCGTATAAGTTCTCCTATGATGGGTTTAAAGGTCACGCGAGAAGTGCCATTATTTGAGCAGATTTCAAAATCAATGGCATGGGTGGAGTCATTAAAATCTACACCCATAACACTGGTGGCACATTGGCCGGGGTTGAGTAGATTAATAGGGGCGAATTCTTGCATTTGCATGCCAGGCGGTAAAGATTTTTGACCCATTTGTATGTTGGAAATTTCCTCAGTGCCTTGATTGACAAATTGCAGTTCAATGGATACCATGGCTGAGGAATATAGATGAGGTGAACGCGTATAACGATAGCTAACTTGGAGACCATGACCCGATAGTTTGTTTAATAACTCTTTGTGGTTGTATGCGATATAAGAAGGACCCACCAGATCTATGCGATTTGCCATTGGTTGGGGTATCAAAGCAGCAGTGTGTGAAGCAGCTAAAGGAGTGCCTAAAATTTAAAATTCTTTTAATATATACTCTAACAGTATTTTCAGTTTCTTTTTTTACCTGGTGTTAGAAAACCACCTAGAGAGGGTGTCATTACTGGACCTATAGGGGGTATATCATCTAAATCCAATAATAAATCTAAATTACTTTTTTGTTCTTTTTGATTTTCCTTTTCCGTTTTAATAGAGTTTGCATTTTTATTATTATTTTTGGCTGGTGTTTTTTCCTCGCTCTCAGAATCGCTTTCCGTTTCCGAGGATTCACTTGCCGATGATGAAGACGAACCATAAGAAGAGGATGATTCTGAATCAGAAGTGCCAGAACCATTGGCATTGTTAACTATATTATTGTTATTATTTGCCTTTAAATCCACTACTTTTTTGTTATTGTTGGTGTTATGCACTTCTTTAGTCACCACTGTCTTGGTGGTAGTTTCATTTTTATTTTCATCATCTGAATCTGATTCCGAAGAAGAAGTTGAAGAACCCGAAGAGGATTCACTTGAGCTGGAATATTCTGATGATTTATCTTCTGATTCTGAAAAGAACGAATTTTCTGTTTTCTTAGTTTTCTTTTGTTTCGAATTGTTCTCCTTTTGTGGAGTGTGTTGTGACTGATTATTAGCCAAGTGGTTAGCCATTCTGCTAGGATTTTCTTGCATAAAACCTTCAACATTACGTACTGAAGGATCCGAAGGCTGTTGCGGAAAACTGGGCAAATCATTATAACCCGAACAGCGCATATTCAAATAGTGCGATAGAGAACCCAATTGATAGAGATTGCGTGTATGATATTTGCTCTCCAAGGTGGGAGCTGGCTTAGCTGATAGGAATACCTTTTTGGCCACTTCCGATAAAACATTACTTTTGCCATTGCTGGGAAATATAAACTGTTTCAGGAATCTAGCTCTATCGCGTATATCGTAGTTGGTATCATAACGAGCCAAAGTGAAAACATATTGACACAACAAAGAAGTTTGTTGAGGATTTGTGAGATATAACTTCACTGACAAGTTAAGAACTTGCAATTTTACCGCATCTTCTTCATCGACAAAAGTTTTCGCCATTTTCCGTAATACATCTGGTGCTATTTTGGGAACTTTCTCACTGTACTCTCCTATGAGCCAAATTATTGAAGATCTGGCTGCTGGTACCTTTATAAAGTCCAACAGTTTGGCCATTTGTGAGATAATGTCATAGTGCTGAGCTGCCTTGGTTTGTAATAGTTTTTTAATGACCACTACGCTTTCGGCTACAACATGCTCATCGCGATTTGAGAGTAGGTGTACCAAACCACTGAGACAAGTTTCCGTGACTTCTTTAATAGTGCCAGCACAACGGCCTATAGCTTGTATGGTGGCAGCCACAAATGGACGATCGCTGCTGGATATATAGGTTTGGAATTCTCTTAGTATCAAAGAGATACTGGCAGCCGAGGCCAAGTTAGTAAGTATTTCCAATTTCAACAATTTAATGTGGGTTGGATCACTTGTGCGTACAAAAAATGATTTAATATGTGCTTCAAAAATGGCCTTACGTTTTGTAGACATTGAAGCAATACAAGTCAAAACCACACTTTGCACCTCCTTATGAGAACGTAAAAGACGTATGAGAGCTTTAGCTATAATTTGCACTTCTTGACGTGGGGCAACATGGTGATACAACTGAGCTACAGCCATTACCACCGAAGCATTGCGTGATTGTAGCAAAGGTTTTGTTTGTCTCAGTAACAAACGATGATCCAAATCTACATGGTAGCTAGAAGAAGGTGAGGAAGTAGAAGATTGTTTTTTATTAGCTTGATTTGATTTCGTTTTTTTATTGCCCTCATCATCACTGGTATTCGAATCGCTTTCCTCTGAATCATCATAAAACTTTTTGTTTTCTTCGGAACATTGTGCGTTTTCATCCTCCGAGGGCTCATCGGCATTGGGATCCACAAATTGTGTTCGGGCATAACGTGTCAGCATATTGATAATAATCACCTGACCCCATTCATCTACATCCACCAACAGATTGCATAGTTTGCGATAGTTTTTGTGTATTAAATCAACACGTTCGGGACAAACCTAAAATTATTTTTTATGATATTCAAAAAAGGAAAAGAATTTAGTGTTTTTATTACACACCTCTTCGAAAGCCATTACTGCAGAACCGACTACCAAGGTAGTACGATCCGACAACAATTTCTCTATTACTGTCACCAGTTCATCCTTTTGTTCCGGATCTATTGAATACAGCTTGGGTATTGCGTGAGCTGCTGTTTTGCGGACATAGGGACTCATATCAGAGGCACTGTCTCGTATGGCCAACATTACTATAGGCACAATCATGGCCACTCTTACCGAGGACAATACCCTTAACGCTGAAGCTCTTATCAATTGATTCGGATCCTTAAGAGCTCTTTGGAATGTGGAAATGGATAGTAAGGCCAGATCTTGTTGTTCCTCCGCATAACGCACCAAGTACACATAAACCAATTTCTTAACTTCTATATTCTTGGAAACAACATTCTTGACCACAGCTGGAAAGAGATCACTGGCATCACGTCCTCTGGCAATCATGCCTATAATACGTTTCATGGCTTCCAATTTCAAGCCATCCTTGTTACTATCTAGCATTTGCTTCAAATCGTCATGCTTGCGACCTTCATACTTAAATATGGCCCCACTAGCCGGATCTGTGCCATATTCGACATCCAGACCCATTTGGGCCTTATCGCCATAAGCTGAAAAAGCATTAGATTGCTGCTGCATGGCTGCCGATGTTGTGCTATTAAGACTCCCCGCTAAAGTAATGGGAGAACTTGAAGATAGCATACGAGCAATATAAGATAAGGTTCACAAAAAAAAGTAATGAAAAGATTTTTTCTTTTTTTCACACTCACACTCACTCAAACACAATTTATTTTCTTTGTTGATATTTTTTTTAGAAAATATCAAATATTTTGCTTTAAATTTTAAAGTATTATTTAATTACTGTTACTAACTACTGGAATATACAAAATATTTAATTATTTAAATAGATTTCTTTAAAAAAATAGTGGATTTTTGCAAATTTTTCTGCAATATATATTTTTTTTGCAATATTTTCACTTGACTGCAACTACAATGAAATTGATGACGTACTTGACAGAAAATATCTGTCAGATATTCTTCTTCTAGTTATCTTACACTAATTTTGTTGTTGCCACAATAAAAACAAGTTGCCATATTAATAAGGAAGTAGAGAAAACAGTGGCATCTTTCAAAGAGAAAGTGATGATGAGAGAAATAGATTGACAATCTTATCAGCTGTTTGTTGTAGTTGTTTTCTTCTTCTTGCACTTTTTAGTACTACAATTTTTGTTTATTTGCAGCTAATCTTTTGAGGAAAATTAATTTAATAATAACAGGAAAATTTTCTAACAATTTTTTTTAAAATTTCAAGAGGCTGACAAAGCTCTTGCTTTGAAAAATGAGTTTTCCTTTAACAAATCCTAACAAGGAGTCGGCTAGAGCAGCTTGTAAAAAATGTGGTTATGCCGGGCATCTAACATTTCAATGTAGAAACTTTCTCAAGGTAAGAAAAACTTGTTTTCTTTAATAATAATTATAAAAATACTGCAACGTTTTTTATTTAGGTGGATCCCAATAAGGAAATTTTATTGGATGTAGAAAGCACTAGTTCAGATTCGGAACTAGACTACTTGACCCCTTTGACTGAACTGCGCATGAAGGAGTTGAAGGAAAAGGAAGCAGAACTACTCAGCAAACACAAAAAGTCTTCTTCAAAGTCTTCGAAGAAGAAAAAATCGAAAAAGAAGAAAACCAAACACAAGAAAAGCCACAAAAAACATGGCAAAAACAAAAAACATAAGAAACGTTCATCAACCGAATCCTCCTCCTCATCATCCTCATCCCTAAGCTCGTCTTCCTCCACCGATGAAACCACCGAATCGGACTCTAGCGATAATGAAGAGTCTTCCACTAGTGAATCTGATGAAACGGGACGCAAGGTACGCAAGAAGGGTAAATACAAGCGTAAGGCCTCCGAGACACCAGTAATGAGACGCAAGAAATCTAAAGTAAAGCGTAAACGTTACAAGACCACAGATACCACCTCCGATTCAGAAGAAGAATCTTCATCGGACTGATTAAAAAGACAGACATGGAATAGCAAATATTGTTTACGTTTCTTTAGAATATAAAGTTGTGCGCCAAATTTTGAAATGTTGTCAAATATTTTATATCAGGTAAAGCAAGTTTCTTTCTTTGCAAGTGATGGCAAAAAACAACTTTAATTTTAAGTTAGTTCTAATTAAATAAAACAATTGTCTACTTAAAAAACACAAATGAAAGTTTTCATTTCCTTTGTGTTTTTTTAAACGTCCTCCAAAGTAGTAAAATCCTAAAATACAGTTTCCGAATTTAATTACACCCACCAAATTGACCATAAACAAATGTTTTGTAAACCGTTTTTCTCTAGATGTCTAGATGACCTCAAAACAAAATTGTGTTCCTTAATATAAAACTTAAAATCAACCCCTCAACAAACAAGAAATTAGTATAACATAATAAATAGTATAACCGAATAGTTTAAAGCATTTTTATAACAGTATGATAATAAATATTAAAGAAAACAACTCCACTTTTAAACTTTACTTTGAAAACTAACTTATAGACAAGATTATATTAACAGAAATCAATAAAAATAGAATATTTTCATGGTTTATACAGTAGAGATTAAAATTTGTTTCTACGAAATATTGGCAGTCATGTAATAGTTTAGTACTTAAACTGTTATTAACATTTATGTTTGAAAGCACTTTTTCTTGTATTTTAAAATAAAATAATTTTTCTCAATTTAAATTAAAAACTATGTATATGCATCTTTTAAAAACTAAGCAATAAATATAATAAATATTCAATTCAACTTGAGAGTAAGTTTTTAGTTTTATTGGAATATTCTTAACTGGACACACAAAGCATAGAGTATTGAAGATAAATTATCAAATTAATTATGTATTTATTTTTTACAACAAAACTTTTATTTAAATATACATTACTTTACAGGCGTATAGTAAAAAAAATAATAAAATAAAGAAATAATTACTTTAGTTTTAAATATCTTCCTTAAGATTGTCTTTTCATTCCTTTATTTGCTGCAAAGATTTCAAAGTTTGTTGTCTTATGGAAACAGCTATCAATGATAAAATTTGTTCGCTTTGTGGTAAATTGGAGCTATCTAATTTATCTGCTATATCCACATATAAATTATTCATTATAGATTTTACTAAAGCATTATCTGCAGTTTTTGCCAATTCTAGGTTTTTCTCCTGTAATTGTTTTTGGAAATTTAATAATTCCTCATTTTGTTTTAATACTTCTGATTCTTTTTCATTTAGTTTTAGTTCCAAATCCTTTGCTTGCTCTTTTAGTAAATTAACTTCGGTTTCTAAATCCTTATTATTACTGCTGTTGGCCATTAAATCCTTTTGCAATTCCTCAAGTTTTATGTCTTTATTAATCAATTGTTCTTGAGTTTTCTGTTTAATTTTAAATTCCTCTTTTAATTTATTAGTTAATTCTTTTATTATAGTTCTTAAATCTTGCTGGTGTTCTATTTTAAGAGCATTAAAATCCTCTTTAAACTCCTCTATAATATTTTGTATTTTCTCTTCTTCCTTATCTTTTAAAGATTGTTCTTGTAAATTTTGTTTTAGTTTCCTATTTTCTTTCTTGAGCATTAATAGTTTTTCTTCCAATTCCAAAATTTCGTCATCCCTTTCTGGTTTTTGCTTGCTGTCCATTCTATCACATAGCTCTAGTTTATCTAAAACTTTTTCAATTTTATTTTCCAATTTATTCATATTCATGCGTAACTCTGAACCTTGAGTTCTTTGTTCAGTTAAAAGCATTTGCATATACTGGGATTCTAAAGGATTTACAGGATATACTGCACTTGTCGTTGCTTGGGCTGCATTGAAGGCAGTTATTGCGGTTACCATTTGCTGTTGCGATTTAATGCTGGTTAATTTATTACTTCTGGCGGGTATGCCGGGTTTTTGCGTGGTGATCAAAGGGGTTTTAATAACTTCAGTATCTGAAGAATCACTGTACTCGGTAGTGGTATGTTGATTTGTTGATGACAAAGTCGGCAAAGGTCTACCCATTTTAGCCATACGTTTTATTAAAGAATTTTTTGACTCTTTGGTACCGTCCGCCGCTTTGGTGCTAGTGAAATCTTGTTCAACATTTATACTTTGAGCATCACTAGTATTTGTTAATTCTTTTAACGGTTTATTATCTTCTTCGGTTTCTTTAAAGTTTATTCCTTTAGTTTGTATATTATATACAAACTCTTCTTCGTCTTGTACATTATCAAAGCTAAAACTCCAATAAACGCTATCCTCCGCATAAAATTGCCAAAATTTGTTTTGTTTATATAGTAAATCCTGTTGTGTGGACAATTGCAAAGTTGCTAATATATTCACTTTGGTCTTATACATTATTATATTACAGCTGTTATCGGGATTTTGTATTAAAGCCATGCCCACTTTACCCTGTAGCTCTCCCTGTTTATAGGCCGTCACTACTTTGGCCATTAAAGTAATACTGTTGGCATTTGTTGTAGTGGAGTTTTCTGCTTTCAATTCTTTACTTTTTAAATCATTTGCTTTAGGTCGTTGATATTTTAACGATTGCTGCTTATCATCGGATGATAAGGTCTCTTCACCAAAGAGCTGTTGTAGTTTCGAAGATTTGTTCCTAAATTTGTTTTTTTTTTATAAGTTTGTTTCCTTTCAAAAGTTTTTCTGCGTTACTTACCCCTTTAAGGAGCCAAAGAAATCTTCGTCTACATTATTGTCCAAATCAAAATTGAAATTATTCATGATTTTTGGCTAAACATAATAATTAACACACAAAAACATAAACAAAGTAACAAAAGTTTGATTTTTTTGCAAGAATAAAAAAACAAAACAATTAAATGTCAGCTGTTGTTGACAATTCTTATCAGCAAAAATAACAGTTGTATTTTAATAGTAGTAGATTAGTGTTAAGGGTTTAAAAGTGAAATAACCGATTAATAAGTGGTTTATTGTTAAATTTTAAAATATAAAGCATAATGAAGGAATTTATGCTAATATTTTTTAGAGAAAAAAATACTAGGAAATTCTATTTTAAATGGATTAAAAATATTATTACATTAACCCTTTGTAGACCTTGACATTAAGCTAATTTTAGCGATTAATACATAAATTCTTATTAAATAAAATATTTGTATGTTTCATTATCCAGTTTTTAAAACGATTTTTTAACCGCCTTTAAGTAAAATTTTATCTAAAGAACTCTTTAAATAAATATCTAAAATATTATAAAAAATTTATTAATAATATGAAGAATAACTTTTGCTTTTATAAACAAACTTTTGGCGCCCGAAACGCGCTGCAGGCCCTTAATTAGACATATGGACTCTACACGTAAATACCTATATACACCTAAAACTTTAAATCGGTTTAGTAGTTTGGGTATAATTGACTAAAAATGAAAACTTCGACGCTACTATCGGACAAATTTAAAACTTTACAGCAACACTTCTCACGATCCCTGAAACATATATTTGAAATATTGTCCTATCAGAGGCCGTAGTTCCCGAGTTTACCGATTACAAACAAACATTACACATTTATTTATGTAATATATATAGATATAGATATATAGATTGTAAATTAAAAAGTATTAAATATTTTAAAAATCTGCCTTAAACAAAGCTGAGAATTTGATACTTTAAAAGAGTGGATGGATGTCTAACCAAATTTATATCTACAAAAAACTGGAAACACGTTTGTCTCTTTGAACAATTTAACCACCATATTTAGATATCCCAAACATTTTTATAACTACACACACATGTTGTTGTAACTTACAAACATATTTAGGCCTTATTTTTCCAACATATTTTTAATTTATGTAAAATTAAAAAAGAAGAAACCATTGAAAATATAACAATATACATTTAAATGAATGAACTAAGATGTTTTGTATTATAAATTTTATACACGTGTTAGTATTTTTTGTAAAAACTATACACACGCTTATCTTGTAAGCCCATTTCTAGGGCGTAAAAAATACGCAGTTTTTTTTCAAAAAAGTGTTTGAAGTTATAACTTTTTAAAATATTTTTTCTGGTAAGGGAATACAAAATAGACCTTAGACACTAAATATTATATAGTGACGTCAATTAAAAAATGTTTACAAATAAAAAATAATTATTTTAATAAGTTTTTAAAAAAGAAAAACTTATTACTTCCTTGTAATTATTTTTAAACAAATTTATAATAATAAAAAGCTTTGTGTTTATTTTAATATAAAGAAAAAACATAATAATAAGTTATTGAACTTATAATAAGTTTTCATAAGATAATTTAAACAATACATAATATTACACAATGGAAAATTTATTTTCAAACATTTTCTTTTTAATGATTTAATGCAAAATTATTTATCTTATTCATGATGTAGTATGTCAACAAGTAGGAAAATAACAATTTTTTATGTTATTGTATTTTTATTAATTTGTTTTTTTTTTTTTTTTTTTTTTTTTTTTGTTTTACACTTGTTGAGTTTAAAAATTAATGGATTAAAGGATTGAAATTTTTGTATAAATTAATACCATTTAGTTTTTTAATATTTTATGAATTATTTTAATGGAATAGTATGCAACGGTTTGCAACACTATAATAACAAGTAACGGTAATCGTTGATATATTTGGCATCACTATATTACGTCAAATATTTAACAGTAATGCCAATAACCCAAATCTATGCAAATTATTGCAGTGATGCCCATAAAACAAAGATTAATGCAGTTTTTTTGCATTAGAAAACATTGTTTAAATTTTATTAAAATTCCTTATGAAAATTAGTTTTTAAATAAAACAAAGTTTTATTTTAAACACTAAAAAACTACATTTCTAAATTATTCTTTTTAATCTAGAACTTTTTAGAAATGAAACTTAACAATTCTCCTTCAAAATTTTTATTTTTTATTACAAAACTATAGCAGCAACAACTTTATTTATTAAATAAATATTACATGTTGTAAAAAAGACATGAGACCAAAATAAAGTACTTATCAACATAAATAAATACGAAAAAAAATACCTATTTATAGTTTTATTTTTATAAACAAAGAAAAATACCCAACTAAGATGATCTAAAGGTAAACGTGAGTAAAGTCGTCTAGTCAGTCAACACTAAACATAACAATCCAATGAAAAACCAACAACAATTTCAAAAATACTTTAAAATCATGTAGTTCTTTTTATAACAGCGCCACACTTTAATGTTTATATTTTTAATTTAGAATTTAATTGAAAACATAAATAAGAATTTTGTTGTTGTCTTTATGCACGATTTACAACAACATACAAATAATTATATAAACGAAAGGTATGTATGTATATGACTGTTATATTTCAAATAATAAGGAAAAGGAAGGGCCAGCCATACACCACACAGCAATTGATGTTCTAATTTATTTATTTATTTCCTAATCAATCTTTTATATTTCGGTATTTTAGTAAAGAAATAAGTAAACAAACAAACAAAAATATCTTATATTTTGTTTATTTTCCAACTAAAGTT